CGGAGATATAGCTGAAAGAAACCCTGGACATCTCGTAACAAAGGCAAAGGGTTATATACAGTGTTTATTTCAGAAATTTCCCCCAGGCTGGACACTTATGATTTTCGGGAGGGGGGGGGGGAGAGCAGTGTCAGTTGATCTATTGTTGGACATATATTTGCTCAGGGGGGCACTTGGCTTTCCCGGGGGAGGGGGGGAAGATGTAGCTGAAAGAAACCCTGGTTATATAATTGAGTTAAATATAATGTTTTGTCATTGACAGTTGTTTGAACATTATTGCGTTAATCAGAAAACATTTTCAATCTGTCTGCCCCCCCCCCCAACCGGGGCCACTCTCCCTGCTTCTCAACGGCTTATGTAAGCATTGACGCCTTTTTGATGTTTCTGACAATAAAGCATTGTTATCACATTATTTTTTTGGCCACCATGTATTTTTTTGGCCACCATGTATTTTTTTTGGCAACCCTGTATATAGCAGTTATAATTTGTTTGTAAAATCTTTCGTAAAATCAAGTTGTAAACACGTTTTCGTCTAGGCTAAGATGCACTATGCTGACTCACATTAACGTAGAAGTACCGAACAGCTGTTGAGAGGTTGGCCAAACGGAATACCACGATGTTTTATCAATATCTTAATGGGATTGACCAGACTGCATGCCCGGATGTTATATTAATAGATTCCCGCCTCAAATGACAAACCCTTACATAAATATGTGAATACACTGTCCGTGCAAAGGAATTGTGTAAACCTTTTAATTGACTGAAAGAACGTTCCAGTAGTCTTGCGTATTTGTCATCTGTTTGCGGCACACGGTCAATTTGGACAATTTAGACCAGCGGTTCTCAACCTTCCTAATGCCTTGACCCTTTAATATAGTTCCTAATGTTGTGGTGATCGCCAACCACAAAATTATTTTCGTTGCTATTTCATAAATATGTGTTTTCCGATGGACTTAGGCGACCCCTGTGTAAGGCTCGTTCGACCCCCACAGGCTGATAACCGCCGATTTAGATTATCAAAGTTTCACCGATATGTAGGCTTATATATTTGGCTGATTAGGACCCATCACACATGCCCCAACCCAAACCTGGCAATCTTTTCAAATTCATCTAAGTTCAACCTGTCAACATCAACCTCTCAAAATATATCTGTCAGCATCAAAGAGGAAGAAACTGAGACATGTAATGGGATATTATTTTTATTTTTAAAATTCCTTTTTCGTCATCTGAACTCATTATAACTTCAAAATCGTAATAACAACAAATTTCACCAAAAAAATTGACCAAGACATACACATTCCTTCGGTAAACAGTTTGATACAATTACCTCCAATTTATTATTGAAATACCTTTGAGAAACGGCTTTCCAGATCTACACCTAATGATTGCGATAAAAGTTTCTAATACGTAAGTGTAATGATTTTTCTTGTGCAAACTCAATCCACTGCTAGATGATGATGTAAATTAATATTAAATGATGTAAATTTGAGCATCACAAATAAGTAAGAGTCAAACTGGTCATTTCAAATAGTTCCCGAAAACAAAAGGACAAATTGACACCTTACAGCATGGTAACCAATGAGCCATGCAAATGAAGACTGGTTTAAATTAGCATGTGATTACACTGCTGAACATCATCTAACGTCAAAGTTTGGGCTCCCTTCCATTACATAATGCAAGACTGGCAGAAACGAGTAGGTCCAGACATGTAGTGTTTTTGTCTCAAACGAAACTTTTTTTTCCAACACAGTAGCACTTACATTGACATTATTGTGCTATCTGGCGAGAGACTGGTGTCTATTCAGTGCTACAATGTTCACAGCTCTAGCCCCAGAGTATATTATGTCAGTCACTAGTTTTTATCCATAATGGTAAGAGGGGACTGGTGTGACATTTTTTTTTCCTTCAACATGTTTTCCCCTATGAAAATTTGAGTTGAGATTGTTTACAAATTTAGACTTACTTAAAGGTCATACTCTAAAAAAAGGTCAGAGTCTAAAAGCCAATATTTGTTTTAAAAAATAGTGAAAACCTTTCTGAAATATTTGTAAATTAACAAAAAAATTATATAAAATAAATCTTATTATTTCAGTTATCACCGCTTACACTTTAGACATCTTGTGTTGAAATTGTTCTAGCTTTTAATGTTGGCTTGGTAAGACTATTTATTCATCGATTTCTTGAAAATACATACAATTTAATTATTGATTTTTTTTAAAATCATTTTATTTGGATCAATAAAAGAATCATCTTATCTTATCTCATCTATATGTTGAGTGCTCACATGCAAGGCTAATGCAACAACCCAAGATCTAATCAAAGAATACAAAATACAAGCGGTGGTTGGGGGGGGAGGGGATGATGGTGTGCAAAATATTGTGCAATGCTAAAATGCTGCAAAATAACATGAGAAAAAGTAAAGCATCTGAAAAAAAAATATAATAATTTAAAATCTTCTGATTATAATGACATAATAATCTGAGATCACAGGCTTGGTAACGAATATCTTTAGTCACAAAAATCAAAATATACAAATGTGACAATGTCTACAATGAATATTTTCTCTTTTTAAAAAAAAAAAAATCAAATTCCATTTTCTGATTTTATATCGATGATAAAACACTGCCCTCTCATAAAGAGGATACTTTTATAGCAATGACATAACATTGCCCTCCCTTGAAGGGAATATTTTTAAATCAATGACATATTGACATCTCATGAAGGGAATATATTTATATCAATGACATAACATCATCCTCTCATAAAAGAGACTACTTTTATATCAATGATATAACATTGACCTCTCATAAACAGACTATTTTTTGTATCAATGATATAAAATTGACCTTTCATAAAGAGACTATTTTTATATCAATGACATAACATGATCCTCTCATAAAGAGACTATAAATAGTGGTACTACATTAGAAGAAGAATAGTAAACACAAATTCTAAAAAAAACTAGAACATTCACTGGGGCAGGGGGGGTTGTTCTAATTAAATGCAACAAAATAAAACTTAAACAATAAACTAATCTCACAAATCAATGGTAAACAACGTCAATGGTAAACAACAAATCAATGGTAAACAACAAATGAATGGTAAACAACAAATCAATGGTAAACAAATCAATGGTAAACAACAAATCAATGGTAAACAACAAATCAATGGTAAACAATAAATCAATGGTAAACAACGAATCAATGGTAAACAACGAATCAATGGTAAACAACAAATGAATGGTAAACAACAAATGAATGGTAAACAACAAATGAATGGTAAACAACAAATCAATGGTAAAAAAATAAATCAATGTTAAACAACAAATCAATGGTAAACAAAAAATCAATGGTAATCATTGGACTTAAAAAAAAAAAAGTTTTACCATTTTAACTTCATTAAAGAAGATTCATTGTTCAACACACAAACTCATCTGGTCCATCCCCTTTCCCCAAACCTTTAAAAAAAATCTCATAAAATTATATATTCACATATATAGTAGTATATTTTATCTTATGATAAACGCCTCATGCCCCCACCCCCCTTTTTTCTGTTTGTTAACCATTGATGCAGGCTGTAGCATTGCTACTGTAAATTTCATGATGTTGGATTTTTTTATGTTTCAAGCAAACTCCAAGGAGCCTATAAGAAACAGTCAATCTCTATGTATAAAATATTAAACATTGTAAATGTTAACCTTATAATTACAACAGTCAGTTGACAGATAGACAGATATCTGTGGGGCATGTTAGTTTCTGCTCAAATTTGCAAACATTTCATAGTGTAACTTTGTAACTAGAATCAACATACATCAATTCTCAATGCAAACAATGTAACTAGTGTTACCAACTGGCGCTTATTTCACTAAATTACAAAATTTCCAGATAGCTGCACTGGATTAGATTCTTAAAAAATACAGCAAGTGCGTTTTGGTGCATAATATTTTCTTTTATTTAACTGAAATAGTTGGTGTGATAAATCTGCGGGTGTAATGGGGGGGGGGGGGGGGGAGGGAGGGATAAAGAATATTAATATAGTTCAGTGGGGATGTCGCACAGATAACCCCAAAATGAGAAGTTAAGATTAGACTATAACCCCTTGTTGATTGAGACCAAAATGTGTAATGACAAATGCCGGCTACATGACAAGAATAAATATTAGTGGGCTCCCAAACAACAGCATTTTTCTACATAGGTAAAACTGGAAGGTGAAAATAATAATAATAATAATAATAGGGTGCTGTCTGGTTGAATTAGTTTATGATTATAGGAGGTTGGAACAAGTGGGACCATGACATAATGGATTAGGGAATATAGGATAACAGCTTTAGAAGCACTGTAGTAGAGCAAGGTACACGAGACAACAGCTTTAGAAGCACAGTAATAGGAGCAAGGTGCACGCTGCAACCACTTTAGAAGCCCTGTAATAGAGCAAAGTACACGAGATAACAGATTTGGAAACCCTGTATGAGAACAGGGTACACAAGACAACAGCTTTAGAAGCCCTGTATTAGAGTCGGGTGCGCGAGACAACGAGTTTAAAAGCCAGAGATAACATAGTTAAAATAAGATAACAAGCTACAGTTAATAGGACCAAGCTCAAGAATACACACAGCAAACCTTATCATACTTTTAGCCACTTAAAACACATCTTTAAACGAATTACAGTTACCCTTTACTATCCACTCAAACAGAAAACCAGAGAGTAGTGTTTTTTCCCCCTCAACACAATGACATTTAATAAACACATCCAGATTGTGATGCACACCACAAGATAATGAGGTCTGATATACCTACCACACACAAACTACTTTTATCTTTAACAGCCTGCCTATAGTAAGTGTGCCCCCCCCTCCCAATTATGAGAACCCTTCCATGATTGGAGCATTGAGGGTTCCAAATTAAGTGTTTTACAAGAAGTTCAAACGACCTTTAGAAGCTTAATTAAAATGTCAGTTACAGATGGGCCTACAGGCAGGCTGACCGGTTTACAAAACTGAACTCTTAGTTTGACCAAACTGAAAACTATCTTCAAAGATCCAAATAATGAATTGACCTGGTTGTCGTGTTAAACAAAACACTCACAGGGCTAACACACAAAAAAAGGTCTCCAAAAGATGCTATTAATCAACATTCTACAGGGATCAATATTATTAGTAATTAAAGCCTAGATCTGTAAGGAGTTTTATAGCACATTTTATAGTGAGCTGTATTTTTAGTTACTTGTAATTGAATTTTTTTTTTTTAATTACAAAGTCAGAGCTTCAATAGCTTCTAGCTATCAATTTTTTCAAATGAAGCTGCCTAAATCAGGATGTGGGGGGAACCTTCTGCACGACAATGACTTTTTTTGTTGGGCAGTTTGGCCCACAAAACGTAAAGCTTGCCTTAAAAAAATAAAATCATCTGTAAATATACAACACCTCAGATGAGCAGAATGTTTTAAGTTGTTAATGAATGAAAGGATAAATTTAATTTTATGTTCTTTTGTGCTTAGGTCAGGGTAACCTTTTATGAGATTGGGTGCTGTCAGTGTCATGTGTTCAGAACGATTGAAAATACTTATGGCTGACTGATCTCTAATAAAATTAAACGAAAATTGCAGAACAATATATATACATTTTTTACTGGTGCCTAAGCTCTTAACTTGGTCAATTTTTTGACAGATTAATTTCTCTTGAAAGATTAATTTTACTACAACATCAGTAGGATAGATGGATTGAAGTAAAATTATGTTACACAATTTATTCAATATGGGAAGAAAGGATTGGCAGTTTTTCCACACACTTAAAAATTATTCATCTCTGCTAAGACTCTACTTTAGGCTACCAACTCATATGCCCGGGGCATTTAATTTCAAAATTCTTAAATCTAGTTCTCAAAGCATCAAACCCTTGTTTATTTGTCACATATTTCATTTCAAAAACTGATAGATTGCATCCAGATGGACAGCACAATCAGAATCGCCTTTTTTAAAAAACCAGAGATGTCGATGCAGGATATAAACTATTTATTCCATTTCATAGAAACAAGAATTTCATTTCAAAATATTTTGAAAAAGATTATAAAGATTTTTATTTTATTTTTTGGTTAAGTAAAACAAAATTCAATAATTTCGATGAGGTATATGCCACTCTATAATATATAATATATGGTCAGAGAATAGATCCTATGGTCTAAAGGGACAATATGAGTAGTCACCATACATAAATAGAGTATGCATGTAGTAAACCCTATTTCCAGGACTGCTTCTTCAAATAGGCCAATCAGGCACAGTGCCCGGAGCTGGTAGATGAAAACTTAGAAGAATTAAAATGTGTAGGAATTTTGTAAATAGGTCATTCAGAAAACAAAAAGTACTGAAGGGCTTAACAGATTTTTAGGTGGCCATTGCTGCTACATTAGAGCCAAAATCCACTTCAGTGAAACATTCCTTGAAATTACAGGTGCCTAAGTAAATCTGCTATATCCGTTTTCCCATTAGAGTTTTCAATCTGCAGTCCACCTGGGATCAGTTGCAACACAATGACACCAGCATGGGATCACATATTATGTACAGGAGTATTGGAGGTAAAGGGTGAGTGGGAATGGTCAGATTAGGACAATGTGCACATGGGGAATGGGTAAGGTGTCTCCTATGTTAGTTTTTGACTTTATGTGAAAGCATGCACAGGGGGGGGGGTCCAAATATGTATGCAATGCAACAGGGAGGAGTGAATATGAACAATTATTTATTTATGTTGCGTACAGCAAGTAAGCTATGGATGCCGGCTATTTAAGACTAGAATCTGTTGGTCAGATTAGGACAATGTGCACATGGGGAATGGGTAAGGTGTCTCCTATGTTAGTTTTTGACTTTATGTGAAAGCATGCACAGGGGGGGGGGGTCCAAATATGTATGCAATGCAACAGGGAGGAGTGAATATGAACAATTATTTATTTATGTTGCGTACAGCAAGTAAGCTATGGATGCCGGCTATTTAAGACTAGAATCTGTCAAGCAATTAAACAATCCTATACATCTATAAAAGCTGGTGGTCCCTTTGATCAACTAACAACTTTCTGCTTAACAACATGTGCAAGTTAAAAAAAAACTTCTATGCCATCGTACTATCAGTACATTGTTCAAGCACTAAATGTAAAGACAAAAATAAAGAAAGATTATTTTTTTTTTTTTTTAGATATTTACTTCATAAACAATTATTATCACCATATTCACAGAGCGTCTTTAAAAAAAATAAACATACTTCTTTATAAACATCACAGGTGTATACTGCTAACAAAAAGGAAGTAGAATTCTCCTGTAAGCAAATGGTAAGTTATTTCATAAAAATTGTTTACATGGAAATTTATTTTGAATGCTTTCAAAATGCTCAAATCCTTTTCATAACTTTCCATCACATATTTTATATAATAATAATACTCTTCTCTAGCAAAATAATTTCTTCATTTGAAAAAAAATACATCTGCTGACATGGGTAGAGTTCTCAACACAAAATTATGATGAAAGATCTGCAATTATTAAAATAATAACATGAGATGACTGCTGCCAAGCTACTGACATGAAGTTTTAGTAATGAAGTAACACACTAGATCTGAGATAGCTCAAAATTTAATAACTATAACAGAAAATGAGATTTTTTTTTTTTTCATTTAATCAAGATCTCGGAATGGCTAATATGAGAAAAACTTAGCAAAGAAATCATTTTAAAATGAGTCAACATACGTTCACATGCAAGATTACTTTAACCTTCAGCGTTCGACAAGGACATTTTAAAAAAAAAATATTTTCAAAATTTGAGATCATTTACAACCGTTTAATAAACTACTATAAATTTGTAGGATTTAAACATTTGTTTTTAAATAATACAGCACATTTTTATATCTTTTCCTCATTTTTAGATTAAAAAGCAGCCATTTTGATTTGTTATTCTCAGACACTGATTTGATGTTTTTGATTCAAATATGAAAAATAATAGTGTCCTTCAGGAGAAAAAAAAATAAAACTCTTTAAAAGATAATACTTGATACTTATTACTGATTGGGTATATATCGGTGAGCAAGTCGAGACTCGTTAAAAGCTCATTTAAAAAGATTTCTCTAATCCCTTACGGATGTCACTGACAGTAAGTCTACATAATGACTAGGGGCGTTTCTGTTTAGGTAAAGCCATCTTTATCACTCAAATTTCATTTAAAATTGAAATAGTTATCAATCCAAAGCTGTGATGTTTCACCAAAAAAAAAATATCTGTTGTGAAAATATCACCCCCCACTCCCTCGACCCAACCCTCATCTTTAAACTGAATTCTTTAACAGATGGTGAGAAGGCCGTGGATTTTTTTTTTCCAGTGTAACTAATGTGTCATAACTTATCAGGGTTTTTTTTCAGTGTTTCTCTATCTTGATAAATCACAATTGTGTCCATATTTTAAAAATAAGTTACATTAAGAAATCTCATTTGCCTAATATATGTGTATCACTTTTTCAAACTTGAAAATATTTCATAATATCCAACAATGTCTAAATTCAAACGCCGCCTTGTTCTGGGTAGACAAAAGAAAAACATCTTGTTCATAAATTTAGAGAAAAAACTTTAGAAAAACTACACAAAGAGCCATTTAAATAAAAATATTTTTGATGATACTTATATTTTTGAGGGATATAAAACTATTAATTGGATTTATAACTAGATTTCAAAATCAAAATGACTCCGCATGACTCATAATATTCAAAGCAAAAAATTTCCAAACCTTAATTCAAAAATCTTTGGAACATTAATGCATTGAGATTTTTCTTTCTCAAAAATTTAATTTAACAAAAATAATTATAAATATTTGAGAACCACTGACATTATAATCTCAATGTCAAATTGAAAATAAATAAGTTATAAAGATGAATTCACGGCGTTGAATTATTATAACTACAGTTACTGAGTCCTACATTGTTCCAGTTGGTCACAACAAGATCCTGGTCAGATCCGCTGTTCAACTTCTGTTCACAGCAAGCAGAATTTTTTACCTTCAAGTTTGATATAAATACCTCCTTATCGTCACAGCTTTCATGGGTTCCATTAACCAGTCCGTTTGAGGTAGTCTTTGCCAGATCGACCTGGTGGCTGTGGTGATGATGGCCCGTCAGCTCACCATCTGAGGTGGGTATCACATGATTAGAATCAATTGGACAGCAGTGTCCTTCACAAGAATCAACCGCATTGTTGGAATTTGATACCATTCTGGACGAACCCCAGTCTGCTTCAGGGAGGACAACCGGGGATGTGAAGAAAAATGGATCTTCCCTATACTTGAGAAGTTCTGACTCATCCAACTTTGTATTGGACTCTGATATGTCAGCCTGGATAGCTTTAATCAGATCCTCTGAAATTGTAATCACTGTCATTAATGTTGAGATAAAAAAATATTTTAAAAATCATAATCGAATGTAGCTAGGGTAGCATGAGAACGTAAAGCTTAGCTAAAGTGATATTTTAATTTTGAATATAAATGAAACCAAATTATAATATACATAATTCGAATGAAATTTTTTAAAAGTATGTTTCAATTAAATTTTTATCAATATTTTATGAACGTGTTTATTTTGTGGGTAACTATATTTTACTGCTTGACTTCTCTGATTCATGGAATGCCACAGAGCTGAAGTTTGGTGCGGTACCTGTCGCAAGAGACTTTCAGCAAATCGAAAATATATTTTGATATACCCATAACTAAACATATTTGAAGAAAGAAAAAAGAAGTTAAAAAAATAATGCTTGCATATAAAAGCTTTAAGTTCAGCCCTGCTGGCTGTAGGCAATAAATTCCTCACTATTTATCATGATTAGTACCCAAAAAAATGTATTGGTATTGAAAACTTTGAGTAATGAAAAAACTTTGGGTATGATTCTCTTGAGTATTTTCTCGGGTTAAGTTCTTTGCATAAAGTATACGTAAAATTTGAGAATTCCTGCAGAGTTAGTTATGTGTCTTGCTGTGCATACAGGCAGGTTTGTTTATTAATTAAGTGTGATTGTCATGCATGAAAATCAGGGCAGGTACCTTACACAAAGTAATGATTCTTGGTGAAATAATGTCATAATGTAGGTGGGGCATAAATTAAAAGTTTAAAATAACAATTAATTCATTTCCTTTGATTATGAGTATCTCAATGACTACACATTTTTTAAAAAAATATTTTTTTATATTAATTTTGACTAACTCATCGAATTATTTAAAATTTGCTATTTAACAAAATTTTGGATGGGTTGTGGTGAAATGAGCCAATGGATTATGTTAATTTAATTTTGAACGTTTTTTCCCCACAATCAAGCCAACATTACAAAAACAATTTAAAAACTATTTAAAAATAAAACAATAAAAAACTTAAAGCAGACATAAGACTAAATTTTAACAATGCTTGATTAAGTGAAATAGTTCCTTCCTTAATGGGACACAAGCTTTGCTATTGATCTTAGCCATTTATACTGGTGGTATTAATATTACACTAATTACCCCACAACCATTTTTTACTAACTCTCTATTAACTTCATATGGGCAGAGGTTGTATATTTGTACACAGTTGTTTTGGGAAGTAAATTAAATCGCTAAAATGTTCTGGTTTGCAGAACACTAAAGATCTAAAAAAATTAATATATCAAAATTTTGTCAACATGTGTCACAATATTTTGATTCGGAAAATGGAGATTAACTTCCAATTTAAACAACAGCGCATTAAAAAAACAGTACAGCTGTGTCCAGGGAAACAATTTTCCCCAGTTGTCCCTCATAGTTATTACAGGTTCTATTTTATTTAATGTCCCTTACATCAGCAGAAACGGAAAAAGAACACATACATAAACATAAGTGTCACAGATGTTAGTGCAATGTGTTCAAGAGAGGTGGGACAACTGGATCAATAATGCTGACTTGATAGAGATCTATTTGTACATTATCATATCAGGTGTGGCTCTGTCCTGGTGTTAATTTATTTGTATTTATTTTTTAATCTGGGCTATAATTAGCATCAACCCATTCCATTCTATAATACATGGTGACAAAATTTGACCAGAGGGAAAAGTTCATGAGAGTACATTACAAAGCCCTGACTTGGGATTAATAAGAATATATTTCAATGAATTCCAAAGATTTGTTTCACGAATAAATCCACGTAGAGTAATGATGTTTGAGGTTTTATAGATTTTGCTATAGTTATTTAATGATTTACAAAGGTAAAATGGCAGCCACAAGCTGTAAATAACTATGTCCATTTGGATGGTTTGATCTACAATGTATCACAAAGGTGTGGGGGGGGGTGCGGTTATGGCCTAATCAAATGGACTCCTGTCATACACACCCCTTTTCCACCCAATAAATAGTTAAATCAAAGAAAACTGGCCTTAATATTTATCTTAGAGATATGACAATGAGCTAAAAATGTCTTCTTAAGTTTGCCAATAAATCCCTTTCTAATAACACTACTTTAATAGAAAAAGAAAATATTTTAAAATCAAAATCAAGGTTAATAAATTTAGCAGTTATGTGATTCGGCCAAGAATGTTTACTTTTTAAATAAAATAATATGACTAGGATGACAGTGGAAAATTGTGATCCAAAAATATTTAAATTCTATGTCTAGATCTTTTGATGTCCTCCAGGTACTTTATTTCAGACCAAAAAAAAAAAATGTACGATTTCAAAACACTTTTTGGGATTCGGGTGTTCAAACAATAATAAAGAAAAAAAATTTAGCTTCATGATAAAGCTAAAATTGGTACACAGAAAAAATATGAACATTTCATATATAACAAGTACCTGTGTTTTATTGCATAAAATGGTAACCAGATTATTAAATTGAGAATGTTAAAATATAATTTTCAAGAATTTAAATAAAATAAAGCTATAGCTAAATAACTGAATAGCAATGAACTATTCATAAGCGCAAAAACTCTCTAAATATGCTAGTCTGATTTATTTGAAAAGTTGCGTTTGTTGTTGTTTTTGTAAATCTATTAATATTTAGGGCTTCCCAGTGTCCCGAAAATAATATTTTTAAAATTGCGATGGTGGAAAGAACATTTTCTATCACCTGATTCATCAATTTTCAAATAAGTGCATGTCAAAAGTGATTAGGTTTTAAGTGTCGCCCTTTAAAATTTGGAAAACCTGAAGTATGAGTTTTAGAGAGTTACAGCGATAAATTACGATTGCATTTTATTTAGAAATCTTTTTTTTGTTTTGAATTGTTTGATTTTTTGTTATTACTTCATGGGAATTATATAATTTCAGTCTAGACATAAAGTGTGATGTCAGTTGATGTCAGATTCTTAAAAATACAATAAACATTTTTTTAATAGAACAAAATAGGTTAAATGTCATACCCAATGATTTAAAGTTCAGCATGTCCCTGATGTATCCAAGAACTATAATTTTCAAGTGGTCACCATAGAAATCTGATTCAAATTCATGCATGATATGAGTTTCCTGGAAAAAAGAAATTTAACAAAATATTTTACCTTCAAAAATGGATTTTTTTCCCAAGTATATTTGCTCAGCAAGTAAATAAAAAATGCAAAGTTGTTATGGTTTTTTTTGGGCACCATCTTTTTTATTTTTATATCAAATTTTGGAAAAGACAATATGGCCAGAAAAAGCAATGACTTAAAATCATCAGAATCATACTCTACCTAACTTAACATACCAGCTGTTGCACAATTTACACATACATTTTAAAAAAAATGTTTGATGTATTTCAGGAAGCTGCATTTATTTTTACACCAGAGTAGGTTGCTGTGTTTATTCTTACTTCACCTTCAAGTTATACTTCATAAAGTTCTAACTTTAAAATATTAAAATGTCCTAAGAGGCTAAGCCGTTCACTGAACTTCTGCTCTCTTAGAGAAGGAGAACCTTGTGAAATTTTTGAAAAATTGTTGAAAGCAGAGAGATTCTGAAACAAACTATCTTAACATAGGTGTAATAAACAGTCACAGTTGATCAAAGCATTTTTTCCAGGCTTTAGAAGCAGGGGACATTTTTAAAGTGGTCTCAAACTTAACTACATTATGGATGCTCAGGTTCTTCTCCCATCTCTGGGAAATAATCCTAAGTTCATACTTTTTCAAAAAGCAGAAATTGACAATTCTAAGCAAATATATGTATATATATTACCATAGTTTTCACAGTGTTATGATAATAAGGGTTCCATCCAACACTCATTGTCATTTTAAATACATTCTCATTGCTGCTAATTTTTGCCAGGCCATAGTAGACGCCACACTTGAAATTCTCAGGCAATTTTTTAACCACATCCTCAGGAAAATTTGCTATTGTACGAAAAAAAAGCAAAATTATTGAATTCAGGGAATCCTTAAAATCGCCTAATTACTTTCAAACCAGAAATATCAAATGTATGTTAACTACACAGTGACAATTTTGGAAAATATAAATCAAGGTCAAATTTAATTTATAAAAATGTTTCACCACCCTAGTTTGCGTACCTTAAAAAGCTCATGACAGTTTTCTATGATAATTGGAAAATAATTTTTTTCTGCCCCATGAAAATATTTAGAACAGATTAATTAATCAATAAACAATCTACACTCATGGAATGAGTCCTGACAAGAATAAAATGAATATATATATATATATATATATATATATATATATAAAGACAATTTTTTAAATTTATATTTAGAACAGATTAATTAATCAATAAACAATCTACACTCATGGAATGAGTCCTGACAAGAATAAAATGAATATATATATATATATATATATATATATATATAAAGACAATTTTTTAAATTATTAACTGTACGGTTTGCAAAATAAAACTCCAGTCACTAATCATTATAAAAAGAAGTGAAAATTCAGATTCTGTATATTTATACTTGAATCTGATAATCAGATCATCTTATTTGTCTTAGAGATTAGTGATAGTAATTATTAATATAGGTTTAGATTTAGTCTTAGTCTTGGTGGTTCATAAAGGCCTAAGCCTAAGCCTAAATACTGTAAATATTAAGACAAGTTTAAGAATAGACTTAGAGTACTAAAACTAGAGTTAGAGTAGGTTAGAGTAGGAGTGACGTCTACTTGTAATACATGTAAATGTAGGCCTACATTACAGGACATGGCATTATTAATTACAAACTAATGAGTAGTTGGTAGTTAATTTAATAATTTTATTTTAAAGACTGTCATAATTTGAGTACTGTGTGACTGTTAGTGTTACTGTTGTTAGCCTTAATATAGTATTTAGACTATTTAGTGGTTAGTTAAGTTGGCTACTAATAATAAATAATATTTAATTTACATTAAGTTATAGAATATTTCAACAATTTAAGTTTAACTTTAAGTTTAAGAGTTTAAAAAAAATTCCATACACATTTTTTTTATAACTTTCTTATTCAACGACATCAAACGCAATACTACAAAATACCTGTTGGAATTCCGAGTTCTTTGCTACCTCGTCCAAAACCAGAAACAACTGTACCTTCTGCATAAAATGGAAGATGTGTATATGGAAGAGACATTATTATGTAATCCTTGACTTAGACCTCACGTCTTTGAGTAACAACTTCGTTCTGTACCGCAATGACACTAGTCTAATGAACTACACAATCTTTGACTTGCTGAGAGGAGAGTACTTTGTTATTGTTGATCACTGCGAGACACTTGCCAGCTGGTAAAACTGTTATTTTTCAACATGAAAATTAAAGGGCGCGTTAATAAATAGTATTAATATTTATTTTTCTATTTACCTTAATGTTAAGGTGGACTATTTTTAATTTGAAAATAATATTATTCAATATCTTACTATATTAATAATTTGTATCCGAAATAAAACTTAATAATACTCACTCAAGAATCAATCTTTCAAAAAAAAAAAAAAAAGTTATGCAAAATGTTATCAGATGTTATCAGCTCTAATCAAAATGTATTATTTTTTATTTTATTTTTGTTTTTTTTTTTTTTACTATATTAATAATTTTTATCCGAAATAAAACTTAATAATACTCACTCAAGAATCAATCTTTAAAAAAAAAAAAAAAAGTTATGCAAAATGTTATCAGATGTTATCAGCTCTAATCAAAATGTATTATTTTTTATTTTATTTGTGTTTTTTTTTTATATACCGGCATTTTTTTTTTATTTACTGGCACCGGTACTAACTACTACTTCTACTGAGACAACTAACGTTTGTGTTAGTAAGTTAGGGAAATTATTTTTACACTTGGACTTGGAGAGAAAGAATAAATTTTAATTTATACTATTAATATTAATAATATTATTATTATATAAAGAAAGCATAAATTTAAATAATAAATATTTTAAAAGTATTAATTATTTAATTTAATATGATTCATAATTCGTAAGATATCGTAAAGCTTAATACTAAGACTTATTAATAGGTTTTTAGATACCACAGATTCCTATAAAAATATGTTCGGAAAACACTGCACTGATAGTGGTATTAATGATTCGCACTCTTTTCGGTTAAATTTTTACTACACACAGTGACGAGGCGGTTTCGTAACAATGCGGATATAATAACCCTTCTGCGGATATAATCAACCCAATAATGCGGATATCATGAAATGTGAAAATAAGGCTACTAAGGGTGTCGAATTTTTAAACTATTAATATCAGACTACTATAATTTTACTATCATATATATATATATATATATTAATATGGCTAAATATAGGCCTATAAGACATAGGCCTATATATATAGGCATATACAGGGTGGGCCAATAAAAGTGAGAACATCTCGTAGCGTAATATTTTACTAATAAAATTTTAGTAAAAAAAATATTCTGAACATTAAACAAACAAAATTTAGTTTGATATTACATGCTTAATGTATTATTTCAGGTTTGGTGCGGTCTATAACCCTGCTATAAAGAGTGCACCACTGGATGTCTTGGACGAAAATTTCGAAATGGAGGTTGCAGGCTAGATGTCTCTCGTTGCTGGGGAAAGAATACAGCAAACAATCGTGACGAGTTTTATAACTGTAAATGCTGGGGCCGGAATTAAAAACAAAATGAAGCATATGGCCAGGGTGCCAGTAACTGCTTTGTTTCGTTGCAAACAATGTTTGTAGAATGTCAATACCCATTTCGACGTGGAATTTTTATTTGGAACTTCAAATCAAATTCTTGTTATCAAAAAATTAACTGTTGGTGATATTTTACATATTTTTGGAGAATAGCAATGGGAACTGATCTTGATCGATGGATGGCCTGTCTAGGTTGCATGGTAAGATCTTTCTAATGATCTTTAATGTGTGACTGATGTATGACTGTCCCTGATGCAACGCTTTTGCTTATAGTAAGTTTGACAATTTTTTAGTATTGAACCAATATTATATTGTATCAAAAATATTCCACTGCAAGACCTTCTCTTAAAAATGCCACCCATAGATCTAAATTGACCCCCACTATGCCTCAAGATTCGCCTGCGTAACAGCCGCAAGGTCGTTTACACTGCTGTTTGTCAACGCTGTCTATGGTGCTAGGTTTGCGGATAGGGTGAGAAATTCATGTTTAGTGAAAAACCTATCCCCATTGTTCAACTTAATGACTATGCCATGTCTCTTATATCACTACGAAAGAATCGCAGCACAAAGTCGTAACGGATGTCTCAAGTGTGGCCATTGCTGCCTCTACCAAACGGCCAACCAGAGTCTACTTAGGTCAACAACAAAACTCCGGCGATTCCTTTCACTACTTTTATGTATATAGACTTTGCCCAAAAGGTTGTTTGTTACCTTACCTGCGCAGTCCTATACCTACATTACAGACATCCACATTTGTGGAGGGCTAGAGTATTGATTCGATTAACATGATGATAGGCATTAGGATACCAAAGTGACTCCTTGGTCGATCTCCTCTGGGTAGGCCACTGAAGAGTCAGACATTTTGATGGAATATGATTTTAATTAAGCCCTTTGTCTCATCTTGCCGCAAATGCAATCGAATTTTTTAACGCAAAAATAAGGCGTTCCAAAAGAAATTTGACGAAAATTTGATCGTGTGAACAGAGCACAAAAGTTCTTAACTAATTTATTTCTATTTTCAACTTAAAATATCCTTCCATACAAGTTGAATATATATAAATATAATATGTTTATATATGAGAGAGAGAGAGAGAAAGAGAGAGTATAAGTGTGTATGTATGACACTAATCTTGAAACATCTCAGATCAGTGACTGCCACCATTGATCCCACTAACTATGCGCCAGAGGTTGACGTTTGTTTAAGGGGCGCCGCATTTAAAGATCGGATCAACACGAACTTTCGCTACGCTACAGTAGAAGTATGCAAACGTACAATAAAACCTAATTTAAAGTTAAGGAAAATAAACCCGCCATTCTCCCCCCCCCCCCCCCAAACCACCACTACTCTTTCTTCCTCCACCCAACCCCCTGCCCCCACCTATCAAACAAAAAAAAAATAATAAAATCTATTCTTTGCACCAAAAATCCAGTGTCCTAAAGAAACACACCTGTCACATAAGAAAAAATCCAGTGTCCTAAAGAAACACACCTGTCACATAAGGAAAAATCCAGTGTCCTAAAGAAACACACCTGTCACATAAGAAAAAATCCAGTGTCCTAAAGAAACACACCTGTCACATAAGAAAAAATCCAGTGTCCTAAAGAAACACACCTGTCACATAAGAATAAATCCAGTGTCCTAAAGAAACACACCTGTCACATAAAAAAGACGACCCTTGTTGATTGACTAAGGGCCTGAGAAATGTTTTGTGGTTTGTTGTCGGGTGGGGGGGGGGGGTTGGGGGGGTTGGCAGGGAAGGTCAAGGTAAGACGACCCTTGTTGATTGACTAAGGGCCTGAGAAATGTTTTGTGGTTTGTTGTCGGGTGGGGGGGGGGGGGGTTGTGGGGGTTGGCAGGGAAGGTCAAGGCAAAAAAATGTCGCATGCATGCAGCCGATGCACACTTCTCGTTGAAAATTTCGACCACGTCTCAATAAAACAAGGCGGTTTTCGGGGTCTTTGAGTTGCAGGCACCCAATGAAGGTTACTTGGAGGTCGTGATCGAAAGTACTCGATGACCTTTTCTTGCAATCCGATTCTCACGTTCAACGTGTGTGAAAGTGTTTTTGTCAGGTGCACCACATAAAATCGGTCGCTCTTTGTTCACACTACCTTTGCCGGCGGTATCGATATAATAAGATTCAAAATATCGAATACACAAAACTTGACTTGCTTACTTACTTTACTTACTTATGCCTTTCTACCCCGTCTGGGGCATAGGCCGTCTACAAGAACTTTCCACTCCTCACGTCCTGTGCTTTCCTTTCCAATTGCTTCCAGGTGTATCCCATATTTTGCGTGTCAGCCTCTAGCTCGCGTCTCCATGTATTCTTAGGCCTTCCTCTCTTTTCCCCTGTGGGTTCCATGTTAGGCATTGTCTGGCGGTGCTATCTGTGGGTTTTCGGAGCGTATGCCCTATCCATCTCCACCTCTTCTTTATGATATCTTCATCAATTGGGGTATGTCCTCTCCACCTCTTCTTTATGATATCTTCATCAATGGGCACCTGGTGTGTCCTTTCTAGTAGATCTTTGTTGGTGATAGTATTTGGCCGTTTGATGTTCAGGATCTTTCTAAGGCATGTGTTTATGAATGACTGCACTTTCTGCGTAAGGCTCGCTGTTGTTTTCCAAGTTTCTGCACCATATACTAGGACTGTTTTGACATTTGTATTAAAGATTCTGACTTTGGTTTGCAGTTTCACCTCCTTCGACTCCCATATTTTCTTTAATAGCACAGATGCTGATCTGGCTTTTCCAATTCCGGCCCTTACGTCTGCATCGGATCCGCCGTTTGTGTCTATGGTGCTGCCTAGGTATGTGAAGGACTCCACTTCTTCCAGTGCCTTTCCTGCCAGATAGATATGCTCATGGTTGGATGGGTTTAACTTCATGATTTTTATCTTGCTTTTATTTTTATAAACGTTCAAGTCCAATGACAAGATACAACAGGGTGTTTTTTTTAATATTTAAAAAAAAAAAAAAGTCTATATCGCAAACAAAAAGATCGTTGCATAAATGTATTTCAAGACATTAGTTTTATAATTAATTTATAATATTAAAATGAAGTTTTGTTTATTGTTGAGTATATGGAATCGTACTTCATACCAGCGGCGTCATTTGGGTAGGGCAGGATGGGGCAGTTGCCCCTCCCTGAATTTGCAGGTTTTATTTAAATTGCTATGTATTGTGGCGCCCACAGTAATACACAATTTAAAAAGCCGACCTTTCTATTGGCTTTTAAATCGTTTTCAAGAAACAGAAAATGTTCACTCGTGTATCAAAATGTTCACAGATCTGTTCACTTTACAATTAATTTATTGGCAATATTATACTATATTGTTATATGACATACTTAAACACAGGCACGTCCTTTGGGTAAGGCAGTGTGGGTCATTAGCCCCATCCCCCGAATTGTTAGGTTTTATTTAGATTGCTATGTACTGTGGGGCCTTCAGTAATAAACAACTTAACAAGCCGATCAATTTTTGGTTTTGCCCCCCGCCCCGAAAAAAAATGAAATGGCGTCCCTGCTTAAACATACTGTCCAATTACAGACAAGAC